GTTCGAAGGTATCTCCCGGAAGGGTGCTAGCCGTCTGTGTGAGCTACAACAACCAATGATCAATGCGACGCTCAGCGTCCTGGACAAGTGGCAGGCACGAAGACTCCCGACGGAGTTGGCCCAGCAGGTCTGTCCATGACGTGGCAGTCTACATATCATTGATGATGAAAGCCCAGGTTAAGGCTACGGACCCTGCAGGATTCCTTTGAACACAGTGGGGGTGGAAAATAGAGCGGCCATCACAGACGGCGTAGTTGACACCTTGCAGCATGCAAGGGGTGCCAACCGCACTCAAGGCGGCGTGAGCATTGTCGTCAACAAGACCTGGTGATAACGGAGATTCTCGGGACTGCAATGTTGATGTTTTCACTTTGTAGCGGCCCTGTGAACGTCGATGTTCAAAGGTATCTCCCGGAAGGATGGCGGGAGCCATCCTCATGACAGCGAGCACACACCTGGCATTGCACCGCTGAGGGACACGTTGCAGGCACGACGACTCCCGCAGGGGTTGGCCGAGCCTGTCTGTATGCAACATGTACAGCCGATATGTTTGACGATACCTGAGGATGAGAACCACGTCAGTAAGGATCCTAGAAGAGCGGGCCAACTTACCTGGTGTGCTGCTCGAACACGGGCAGGACGAATGGTTGACGTGGCAAGCCGATGTCTTCCTGCTGGAAAGAGGTCGTGTCTTGTCGTGTCTTAGGACGGCGGCGAGGGCGAGAGAGTCGAGAGGAACGGCGGAGCAGACGGCGGGAGGCTTGCGTCGTGAGCGACGTCGCCGGGAGGGGCGAAGGTGATGGTGGGAGGAGGAGAGAGAGGCTCGGTGGGAACCGAGGTTCATATGCACGCAGCGCCGGCGCGCGTGGGAGGTCGAGCCGGTAGCGAGTCGTCCCGATGATGGAGCGTTGGAGGCCCCGGGGTAGAACCGTCGATGAGACTGTAAACAAACCCGGGCGAAAAGCCATCGCCAGGTTCAGCAGCCAGGCGAGAGGGAGGGGAAGGTAGGGTTGCAGCTGGCTTCAACCCGCTATGTTTACCGTCTCATCGACGGTTCAGCGGGGCGCCCTGGGCTCGTGCCATCAGCCCGAGGCCCTGCTCGCTTAACGGCACGCCTCCGGTGCATCTGAAACCGATACGACGTGAGTGTTCATCGCTTGAAGGAGGCCACTCACCTTCCTCCCATTCCTCGCCCTCTTCCACCTTCACCGCGGCGAACGAGGCCGCCGCTCTCTCTGTGCGCAACGCCAGAGCACGCCGTCACCTTATCCGACGTCCTCGCGCACGTCTCGGGGCCTACAACACGCTGCGCGGCGGGGGGGCGCGACCTCTTCGTGCAAGTTCAGCGGCGGGCGCGCTTCAGCGCCGGACACGTCGGCGCGCGTCCGAACGAGGTAAGCCGCCTGTATTACTTAATGTTACATAAGCCGTCCGCATTCAGACGGGGCGTCTACCGGACTGTAAACAAACCGGATTTGAATACCGCTTCGTTCGCAGCTTTTTGCATACTAGCCTGAACCGTTTTCCCGCGGTTTTGGTTGCCGGTACTACATAATCTATTCCTACATTTACAGTCTGCCAGTGCCCTGCACTGACGATGTTATTAACCAGGAAGTGTAGAGAAGTTATGGGTGGGTGTACGAACCAAATTCGATTGAAACTGGTAGCGGGTGGGTCTGGGGCGCAAGGTCGCTCCTGCGCTAAGAGTTCATTCCACAGCTATTCAAGCGTGAACCACTTGATGTGGGATGAAGTAGACATGCATTTTCCACTAAGAATGTCAAATCAGTCAACGCAGGCATTGGATGCGTTGATACACTTACCACCGTTTTATTTTATGGCCAGTAACATCTAAGGTTGACCGGGCCAGCCAAAATACGACCACTATCACGTGATGCAACTGTCACGCTTTGAGTGAAGGAGACCGTTGTAATTTGTAAATTCAAAAACTAATTCTACGCCACATTTTTGTAAATACCTTTCTGGCGTATGTTCTTACAGCCTGTTACTATAGTTTCCAGAAAGTGATTAACGCTATTGTGAATCTGAGCAAAGTTATTGAGTCTTGAACGACCACCAGAATACGGCGCTTGCCATGTGGGCCTCCATTATTTACGTTAACCCGTATGGCGCCGGACGTTATCACGACCGACTTGACTGCATAGGACGACCCGCTGTGAGGACTCGACCTCTCTTTCCTTGTGGGCATTCTTATGGGCCCCGAAAGTTGTGTAGCGGCCTCACACTTGATTCTGAGTTTTTTTAGTGCTCAATATCCAGTGGCTATCTCGTTGGACTCGTCATTGAGGACTGCTCAACCGATGTCAGCGGAGACGGTTCCTTTTACATACCACCTGAAGTCATACCCGGTACCAAGTGCGCGATCGAGTTTAAGGTGAAAAGCTCGCACCTGAATGGAATGCATGTAAGTTACTGGTTCAGCATTCGTAGAGAAACCACTAATAAATGAGTCTCTCCTAGTGGAAAATGCACGCGTATTATATCCTGGAGTGTGACATAGAATTAATGGCAGACGAACTGCCGTCTCTTATCCACACAGAATCTTCGCAACGTATTTCCGTAGGCTCGTGACGGAACGAAGCGACTTCCAAAGAATAACGGCTGTAATTGATACTCAACTTTTTGTGAAGAGCGCGAGTGCTATTTGGATACCTATCACCTGCTAGGCGTCGTCCAGGCATGCTCATGATTACATTACTCTACTAGGACCCTTCGCACCGTTCGTGTTCGTCAGGCAGCTGTGGGCCAGTTGACCTGCGACCGTAGACCCCAGTTCTCAAGCCACGCCTCAAATAAGCCTGCAATTTTGGCGTGGCCTGCCTCCGTCGGGTGCTGATTGCTAGTATACGTCGACATAGTCAGAGTCCAACCAATATTAGATAAGCAGAATGCGGAACTCACTCGGGGAAAACATCTTCCCAAGAGACCCAGCCGGTCGTGTTCACAAGGAAGACCTTTTGGTCTCCAATGGCATGGCTGCGCGTACCATCAGCAAACATCAGAAGCCCGCAGGTGGTGGAAAGACGTGTGAGGCTCACCGAGTAGTTACGACACTCTCATAGCTACCTGGGTAATAGTACGATATTGAGCCGTCTGCACTCGGCCATCCCCACTGGGTTTCCACGAATGTAAGTGCCGCCGGTGTCTTGACGAAGAGGCGACTCACCGGTGTGAAGACGAAGATCGGTTGTGTATGGTATATCGTGCGGAGGCGCGAGACGAAGTTCAAGTATGTCTGACAAACAACAAAGGGTACGGATAAGTGTGAAGATGTGAGCGGGTGCGCATGCTGATGAATTCTCACGGACCTGTTCGAAGTCGGGAGCAGTGACGTTCTGAGAGGCATCATTCGCTCTAAATCATCGATGAATCAATCATATAAGATAGATAGAGAAGGAGGTACCCGATGTGAATCACGACATGTGTAGGTGCGGGCTTGTCTCTAGCAAAGTCCCATGGCGTCGTATAGTTGTGATCTACTGAATAATAATATCCTGTATCTTCCGTCTATCGGCCGCATTCACGCAGTACGGAAAGCGCGAGGGTGATCAACAACTTGTATCACGAATGACGGATAATTGAACGGGCTTACGCGGAAAAATTGGAAGCTGACACCATGCACGTTTCCCCAAGCCGGAATATCCTAGGCATGAGAAAGCGCATGTTGAGCTCACGCCAGAGGAACGACCACGACATAAACGTGGAGATATGAACGCACCTTGAGCGCGGCGCCAGGTTGGGCGTTGACGTTGAGTTCTGCTTTGAAGGCCTCCGCGGTGAGAGAAGGCCATGCCTGCAAGACACCTTGCTCGAGATATTGGCCCTGGTTCCGAGACATATTTAGCCGAGATCCATACGTTCGACCAAAACGTATTGCGCACAGCTGAGAGCGAATCACCAATGACTTGGAATGCTAGTCTGGATGGCGTATACGGCAGAAGCTGGGCTCCCTGATTGCATAGGAAGAATATTTCAGTCACATTGTACTATGTTTGTCATATACCAACAAGTACGTACTGGGTTCAACACGATTGACTCAAGGTTCATGTTGTTGTTTTGCCACCCTTCTGTAGTGATCCTGACAATAGTGGATTCTGATCTTTTACCGGCGACTGAAACGGGAGCATTCAGGGGTATAGCGTTCGCGCCCTCAGAGATGTTGACAGTGGTGAAGGATCCGTAGTCAACGGAGACGCCAACAGAAGTAGACGGAACTGTAGTGTTGTGGCCGAGATTGAGTGATAGAGAGGTCAGGTCTTTGGCGTGTAACTTAAAGCCCGATCCTGCCCTGAAATCCAATGATATGGCTACACGAGAACTAATGTAAAAGATGATAGACGTACCACCATGTCGCAGGTGCTCGATCCCAGCGTCCGTGATAGAAAACCAGCGGATGGTCCTTGGGAATAACCACTTCCTTGCCCCCGGCAGCGGTGGCAGCAGCTGCCATTCCCAAGCTTATGCAGGCCAAAAGCCCGATGAGACGATCCCTATCAAATAACATAGTAAGGTGAGTTGAAGCAGCGGGGATCGAGCTGGTACAGAATCGTCGAGACAGTAAAGTGATCTGGGTTTTTAGAGAGCTGTTTTGACGAGGATCAGTTCAGTGCCTAATCTCGAACGTGGTCACAGGGTCGTATCATCCGTGCACTGCACAACGAATGCCTACATCTTCGAAGATTCAAACAAGACATCGTGACCTATCCACAACTTCGTCCGAGAAAAAACCGTGTTAGCGTAGACATGTAGGACAGAGCACGAGATGCCGTATAGCAGACCGAGGCGGGCCGTAATTGAACGTTTATAACGCTGGGTTTGCTCAAGTTCAATGGCATTACGATGTTGAGAGGACGTTGAAGAGTCGACGGTTGCAACGAGGTTACAGTCTTGTTCAGATCGAACGGTCTGACTCGCGACAGCGTGACGACAGGTAACCTTTGTGACATGTTACACTGGCTTGTCACTGGAACAAAAACAGTTGCCCATTGGCTGGATTGAACAACCGACCTCACCATATCAAACATTTGTACGAGTGGCGCGCTCTACCACTGAGCTAAACGGGCTTAATTCACGGTTACAATCAAAATACATATCACCACACTCCTGTTCTATTGCTCCCACTGCCAGCGGTTTTCCAAGTTTCGTCTGGGCCTCGCATTTTACCTTCGCCACCCATGTTCGCAATTCACGACTTGTACTCTTCCCGAAGAGCTGCGAGAACGTTCGCCTTTGCCATTGCTTTTATGGCCATTCATCGCGGACCTTGACAACGAACCACCATCAGATATCGACCATGTTCAGAATTAATTTGGTCCGGACAACCTTGAAAGACAGCTCTTGTCATTCTTCCAAGCAGACCAGCTTCAGTATGGGATCAAATCCCGGTCCCCACCATCTCCTCTAGTACTGTATCTGGCTTTTCCTTCGCTTCCACCATCCAGGAGAAGCGACCTAACACCGATGTAAACGGGACGCTGGATCCTTCCTGGCATAGGTCTAGCGCACGGGGTTGGCTCTTCAGCCTATCGTCAGATGACTTTAGCACTTCCTATCTGATCCCTTCCGCTTCAGTGGACTTTTGCCCAGTGTCGCATATGCAGAGGGAAGGGGCCGGCATGGGAATAGCAGTCAGTCGGTGTACATTTGGCCGGCCCACTCGGTCTACCGTATCAAACAAAGATGGCTGACATCCCAGGAACACCAAAGGTCTACTTAGGACAGAAGGTACGCAACAGAATGTGGAACTTCCTGTTCATCGGACCCGCGAAGACGTAGACCCGTGCGAAGAAGTCTATTAGGGAGGGTACAAGTACTAGAGCTCCCCCAGACCGGACATGTGTGCGTTTCTCTTCGCTCCTTTGGCCTGTAGCCATCACTAGTACTTAGCACATCACATATGCCATGTCTATAGGATACCATGTCTTCTCGGAGTCGCCAACACAGATCGCCACAGAAACTCGAGCGGTTAGCTACAGCGAAGGTAAGCGCAGTTCATCGCAAATCCTGAAACACAGCATCCACTGATCATCGTCGCTCGCAGTCGCCTCAGTGACGCTTCTCACATGGGACATCATTGTAACAATGGCAGACGAGGTGAGTATCGTATTTTGAATCAAACGCGTCCACTCACCATAAAGCTCTCATCGATATTTCGTGCGCTTTACAGGTCGAGCTGATCTGGAAGTACGTTATACAGGCTTTCCATGGCGCGATGCAATGCCTAACTGTGGCCGACGCTCGTCGGAACTATCGTGCAGAAAAGGCTGGACCCCTGCCAAAGGCATGTATATCTTCGCGCGTTACGTGCCCTGGGCGTTTCAACTGTAAGTTGCTGCCACACATCAACTTACACCATCAAACGCTCTTTCCACTCCTCTCCTCTCCAAGCAATCAGTTTCCAATTTCCAATTGTTTCTTCCATGCCTTTCCCTTATTGCGATGGTTTCCAGCCTATATCGCGTTCCTGGAATCTAGACGTCTTATTGATACATGTAAACTTACTTGGTTCGAACTTTCATGCAGGGCGTTGCTAGCGATTAATGTCGACGGCTCTACTGGTTTGCTCTGGACTACGCAACAATGTGAACAGTGGCAAGTAGCCCAGGGAATAATGCTCCAGCTCATAGTCACTGCAGTCGACGTGGTTCTCATCACTCGAGGTATGTTTGCTTTCTTATCAAGTAAATTCTATCTCACAAAATCATTCCATTATTAGTTTATGCGCTGTACAACAAGAACAAAAAGCTGATTGCTGTTCTGGGCGTGCTCTTTCTCGTCGAGCTTGGCATCTTAGCCTGGATCCTCGCGTTTGTAACGCCACGTTTGACTTACAATGACGTTTGCTTCGTCACATCGAGTCCGCCTCTTTTCCTCGGATACTGGTGCGTTTGTTACTTGCTCCGTCCCTCGGGATCTGGGTGCGCGGAACCTAGCTGTTGATGGCTGACTATCCGCAAATCATCTTACCCAGGATTACCTCTCTTGTATTCGAGACCATTCTCTTCGTGCTCACCCTCATTAAGTTCGTGGATGCTGTGAAAATGGGCTGGGGACGACGTCCTGTGATGCGAGACTTTGTTTCCGATGGTACCTGGGCGTATACGCTCATTTTTGGTACGGGACTTATCTCCATATTTTTCAACACTGGCACTGAAAGTCTTCGAATAGTCACTATGCTCATCAATTCGATGCTGTACAAACTAGTTAAATCGCCAATCGCAGGAGTATGCTTCACGTCAGTATTTGCTGCTGCTTTTGCGTGGGTCTTGCTAATGTCAGCTTCATTAGGTGGCTCTTATCGGTTCTCTCCTTTGCCGTAAGTTTTATCTTGTGCGTTCTGTCCAGCAACTACTGATAGCGTCATTTTAGGGGTCACGTCTCGTGCTCAATCCTCGGCGACGTACTCAAGACTGGCGTAGCTCTTTATCAACAACGCCAGCGAATCATGGCTCTGGACGCAGCCTCGAATTCATTAGTATCCCACTCTCTCCACTCTCTAGGTCGCCCACAAGTCCAACTACTCCACGCTCATACGCTAAATCCCACCGATCGCATATACCTGAGCCGCTTCCCACCTACCCACCGCGCTATTCCTCTTCCTCGTATGCGCCAACAAGCCCAAGTACAGCCAGCCCCAGCACACCGGCGACGCCGACCTGGCTCAGAGATAAGGTCCGGCGCGTACCGCCCCCACGTGTGCGCACGACTGCCGCGGACATGGACCTGGGTGAACTAGACTTTGGCTCAGACGAGGATGTGGACAAAAAAGACGACTCCCATGACCGTGAGCGCGTTCAGTATTCCGTTACTAGCGCGCATGCTGACAATATTCCATCCGTAGTGGCCTCACCATCGTCGGTATATACGCCGAACAAACCCGAATATAGTTTTGCGTTGTGATTAGGCCGTAGATAGTCCTATCTCACCCCATGAGAAGGCTTGACACGCACAAAATTGCACGTCAAGGCCGCTTTGGCTTCGAGAATGGCCTGCGAGCGATTCAACAGGTCCATTGGTGGGGAACCCGCTGTTAAGCCTGGGGGTTTGATACAAGAATGACTGTTGATGTTACGGTGCAGTCTTTGGAAGCGCGTTGTGGGAATACATAGGGGTAGACAAATTACTGTGTAATGATCTTACTGTGTACTATAGATGCTTCATCTTGGGTTCAATGCATGAGACCGTGCTGTTCGGATAGGAATCTTGTGCGTGTGGTGACCCCCAAAGCCTGACCAGCACGAAGGTCATAGGATTCAGGCCCACCGCTCGACGCCCGTAGTGGGCCACTTCAGCAGCAAGCAGACGCGAGCGCACTGAGCGCATCGCAGAATTCATAAGAAAGGGAGATACGGAGACGTCACCCACGGCCGCGCGCTGGCCTCCCTGTCATTACACCACCATGAACGTATGAGCGGCTTATCCTCCGCGCACATCAAAGCGACGATCTCCCGGGACACCCTGGATCACGGCGGCCGCTGCGTGCGCGATTTGTCTGCTCTAGGCGGTATTCAACGGTGTCGGCATATGCAATAAACATAAAAAGCTCACATGTTGTGTATCACAGCGCGCCATCGCTATGCAATGGATCGTCGAGCGCGCTACATGGGGTTTCCATATACAGAACCGCTAGCCTGTTTTCATGAGGTCTTGCCACGGACTACAGGGACGAGAGCACTTTGTTTCATCTTGACTTGTACAGCTCTACTTTGACGTGTGCCCGTAAATTACTACGCTCAAGCCTGTCTTATGATTGCTTCATGTTTAAGGCTCGGGGTTGGTGCTATGGACTCATCTCATGATTAGTATCAGGGTCATTAGATAAAGCAGAAAGCACCTTGGGTGCCAAAGACCACCACAGTCCTCGATGTCCGCTATTGTGACAGAGTTTCGACATAGGAGTGTAGGAAGCCTGGACTCGCACCAACCCAGTATCAGCCGGCGGAACATATGCCTCCTGCTCGCCGCCTCTACGACGTCTTTGCAACTTTTTGTACTCGGACGTATCACGGGCTACTCACATAAAGACCGCGAGCGATTCATGGATCATCGCCCGCGTCTTACATCTCGTTCCGCCACCACATCTGTCTATCAGATCCTCCGAGACCTTATAGACCTAGCGGATGCGAGTCGGAGATTCTCTTGAGATATATGAGGGCGGCTGTCCGTGCGGCACAAACGGGTCTTGCTGCCAGTAGCTGGCGTCATGAGCTGAAAGCGCGCGCCCTATATGTGTGGCGCTGGAACGTAACGCCACGTCGTTACCGACAGATGAGCGACATAATCTGTGTATTCATAGCGCGTAAATACACAGCTCACCGATGTCTAGCAGACAAAAATATCATGTCTCTATGAATCTCGGCTCATAGACGAAATGAGACGAATGTCGCATCAATAGGCGGCTGTCCCTCGCCGTGTTGCGGCGCGGGGATATTAGAAGACCGCGAGGATCCAAAAACGACAGTGATGCGCACTGCACCAGCGGTCCGTGATGATTGTCGTCGGGGAGACGACGCCTGAACTCAAAAACTAGGTGTGCATGCTTGTCCCTGTCTCATGACTCAGAAATGCGCCACACTTGTTCATTTACTAACCCTCTAATTGTGGCGTAGAATTTCAGCAAAGGCGTTGTGATGCGCAAGAATGGGGCACGCACGTTAGACTAATCGTGGTCTTCGAAGAACATATGGGTGCCTTCATAAGACTGCTTGCGTGAAACATGGGAATGAAACAACAAGAGTAACAAAATAAAGAGGAAAAAATGGAGTACCTACGATAGACCACAGGTTTCAACACCAGGTTTGAGCAGACAGCAGCAAGTTGTAGAATGTGGGATGCAGGGATACAAGAAATGGTGTCGCCCTAGTATACAGATGTAACAACCAATCGAGCACGACGTATAAAGACCAAAGCTCAACGCAGGGGTAGGACAGAGACATGGCACAGCGAATGTCAACCGAATTTTTCGCGGGATCATGACTCGCCGTCCGTCTTAGGCTTCTTCGCCGACTGGATGACAGGTACGGCCTGTCCGCGGACACCTGTGTCGGGCCCACCGTCGGGTTCG